CAGCAAGCAACAGGCACTGCGCGTCCCGTTCACAACTTGTTTTATTTCTATTTGTTTTTTTTTATTTTTTTTTTTTTATTTCTATTTTTTATTCGGTACTACGACTGGCWGATTTCTTTTGCCTATTCAGCTCATGGAGTGGCCAGCGGCTTGGCGTTGGCTTTTGTCGACTTTTCGCATTTTTTCTCACAAAAGAATTTCTTCGATTTTTTCTGGACATCTGCCGCGACGATCGAGCCGCAAATTTTTGAATTGGCCCAGAGGCAATTGCAGCTGCCGATTGAATTAATTTATGGGCTTTCTTTAACTTGGGCACTGGGATCTCTGAATTTGGGCTATATGTTTCACATATTCCATATCTGCTTCTGAACTCTTTAGTTTTTGGGTTAATTATCGCTGCTGCTGGTATAACTGTTTGGCTTTTGGCCCGATTCGAACACGCATTAGTTGTGACAGCTAATAAGCAGCAAATAATTGGCCAAAATCGGAAATTACACCAAATAAACACAAACAGCTAGAGCAGCAGCAGCAGCAACAACAACAACAACAAACTCTCTGTGGATGTGGATGTAGATTTTGACACCTTGACCGCATTGACGCATTGAATTACAACCAATTGGCTGTGACTCTGGCCTTATTGGCCATTATGTACGCGCGCTGGCTCTTAAATCGGAATTATATTTTCTAACATTTAAGTGGCATGCCGAATGCCAAAAGGGTTTCTTTTTACGAGCCAACCATTAAACGGATTGGGCGTCGTCCATAAAAAGTCTATAGAGGAAAAGCATAAAAGCTGTGAGCTGGATAGAATTCGCGATCCTCGCGGGTAATAAAATCGGTTTGAAGCTAATGGCCAGTGTATCAACACTTTCGGCTAAATGCAAATTGGCCATTAACGGGCAATTGCTAAGCTGCATTGCCAATAACTGGCATTACGTATACGACAGGTCGACAGTGCGACAGTGCGAGGGTAAGCATGGAATCTGTGCCGCTTCGCTTTTAGTCGCAGTCGTGGCCCATTAGCCAGCGGCCTGCACACTTTTTCTTTCTATCGCCAGCCACTTTCTTTGGCTATTGAACTTAAAAGCATCTGCAGCAGTCGCCGCACAAACCAGATCGCCGCCCGAAACAGACAACAAGGCGGTCGCAGTAGCAGCAGCAGCAACAGCAGCAGCAGCGACAACAATTTGGGTTAGAGAAATTTGCGCCCCGCGACACACTTATAGCCACGAGAGTCAAGTTCTTGTGGCAGGTAAATACCAGTAAATAGCCGTGTGCATGGTTCTATGCCACGCTTTAACCTTGGCGTTTGGGCGTAATGCGCGGCAAGTGTCACTCCATGAATAACTTGTAATGTGCTTAGTTGCGCTTACTTTCTTTACACAGTAGCAACAACAGCAGCAGCAGCAACAGTAGCAACAGTAGCAGCAGCAACAGCAGCTGCTGCAAAAACAACAACTAGAATGGCCAACAACAATGCTAATGCTGCACATAAACCGATTTACTCAATTATAGTTAAAAATGGCAAGGGAAAAATATCACAAAAATAACGACTTTGGCTTTGTGCCAAGGGGCCTCAAGTGCTGCCCAGTTGTGGGTGCCATAAAGGCAAGAAAAACAAATAGATGTATAAAATTGATATAGTCGCAGCCAAGGTAATCAGTCTATTGCCAAATATATTCATTCAATAGCCAGCCAGCGGCCGTCATCATTTAATTTGGCAACTGTTATCGCCAGAGACAATTGATTTGTGGGCCGAGCAGACTCGAACGCTTGAGCGTGCATTTGGCTAATTGGTGTGGCTGATAGATACGCATGGCATGTGGCTTTAGATTGGGGCTGCAACTTTTCAGTCAATTAGCGCGGCATTTGATTTGCATAATGCGGCCTCTAATTTCATTCTGTACCGGTTAACGGTAAAAGACAATGCCCAACTCCAGAGTCTTCAGAGGGAAGTCTATCATTATATAATTTGTCAGATTCCCAGACTCCGAGCTCACCTCTGGCTCCTTTGGGTGCTGATGTCAGCTGCGATGCCCTCATCATAACTTAAAATAGTCGCTGAGCGACAGTTAATTATGAATTTTAAAGTATCTTCTTCATCTTTTTTTTTTTCTCTTTGTGGCTAGATAAACCACTAGAAGGGTTGGCTTCTTCGCAGTTGCCTTTTAATCTTTCTTTCTAGCAAAAATTAAAATAAAATTTACATAGAGTCAAAGAACCTAACGAAAAAAAAAGAAAAAGCAGAGGAATGAAAGAAAGATGAAAAACCCCAACGAAATAATTTTAATGTGTTGCGTTCTGGCGGCCTCGACTGCAATCACTTTTAATTGTTATGATAATTTTGCGAGGAAGCTTGGCAAACTCACAAAAGAAAGGCAGCGGCCCAGTGAATCAAGAAACTAACTCAACCTTGGCACGAAATCTGAAGAGAGACGACCACACAGATACATTTATATCTAAGCGCTATTAAAAGTACTCCGAAGTGGTCATTGGCACTGGTAGCACCGCCAGCTGGTTCATCAAACTGTTGAGCGGCACGTGTGGCAGCAGATCAAGCATACGCAATGTGTGTGTCTCCATTTGACTATGAGCCGCAAAAGCCACAGGCAGCAATTCGTTTGCCAAAAATGATAAAATGAAAGAAAAAACTATCTAAGCCACATTACATGACTTTCAATTAAAATGCTGCAGCAGCAGCTGCGATTGCTGCACTCTGTGGCTAGCCACAAGATGTGGATGGTATGGCTTGTGGCTCTTGTTACAGAGCTCTGCTATTTGCCATGTTGCGATTCAATCATTTTATTTTTTTTCCGTTTTGTTGGCTCATCAATAAATCTGCTGCTGCAGAGAAACTCCATTCGAGCCAAGCAAAATGTTGTCTATAAATCACATAGTTGCTGTGCGACATGGCCAAGGGACAGTTTTGGCTAAAGTGCAGCAACAGCAGCAACAGCAGCAACATGAGGCAGCCCCTGCAAAAACAACCCCAAACACCTGCTGCTGGCCATGGCCCTAACCCTGACGCCTGTCCTTGCTGGCTGGCGAGCTGCCAGCTGCCAATGAAATATCTGGCCAAAAGCAAATAATGCTTAAAATCATTTCGATTTCCGGACAGGCTGTTGGCCATACTAAAAGGGGCGGAGTGGGGGTGGCGGGCAAAGGATGCCAGTTACTATGCACACATATTGCGGCATTTTATTTGCATTTTTAGTCTCTTTTCCTTTTTTATTGCTGAAGCAACGAAAGCCTTTTTCCCAACTATAAATAAACCATATTTGGCTTTTATTTCAGTTGGCACTCTTCTAATATTTTCTTCTTTTTTCGGTTCGGCTTTGCCATAGTTTTTGTATTATTTATGGGCAACTAAAAGCTTTTACAAGCGCACAATTTTAGTTTTTACGTGCCTGACAGAAGTTGCTGCAGCGCAGTGTGGCCCGTACAGGACGAACTTGTGGCATGGGCATAAATTCTAATTAGAAGTTGCACTACAACTTCCAGACCAGGACACACGGGGCTGTCGCTGCCGTTGCCGTTGCCGTTGCCATAGCCTGGGGCAAGTGGCCAGTAAATGGCCTTTCCACATAAATTAAATAGCCAGGAAAAACTATTTCACACAAAGGGCCCGAGGCGGGGCGTCAAAAGGGGCGGGCCGTAATGAGGGGGAGCCAATGGTTGGCGCTGTGCAACGGCTCGCGGCGCCTCGCCAATTGTRAATGAATGAATGAGCGAGTAACTGAATGAATGTTTGCAATTTGCGCCAACAGCTGCAGCCGCCGTCCCCGCCAACTTTTTGCCATTTTTTATGAATGAATAACTTTGAGCATTAACTGCCTGTAAACCCCGGCCTGGTCTGGCTAACTGGCTAACTGGCTAGCTGGCTGCTTGGCTGGCCGACTGGCTGGTCGTTTAAACGCTTCGTTGGCTCTGGTTTAATTTTTGTAAAACAATAAATTTTTATTAATTGTTTGCCATAGAGTACGTAATTGAAATGCGCCGCAGGTTCTTGACGACTCTGCCGAGCTGCGCTTAAGTGAAACCCACCGAATCGCGGAACCTTAACGGGCTGTGCCCTACAGCGAATTGCCCACAGCAGCCGAGGCATCTTGAGCAAACTAGTTAAGCTAATGAATAATTAGTGGAACTAGTTTTGAGAATTGTGCGACATTTGCACAAGTGCAAATCTAATTGCAGTAAATGGCAAAAAAAATATATATTTAAATATAAATATTTAATAATATTTTAAATGGGCATGATTGTTGTGCTGAGGATCTGAACATTAGTCATATCCATACAAAGCCGGAACAGACATTTCAATTAATGCAAATTTTATGCTAAATCCAATGTTTAATAATTTAAATTCACATTAATTTTTGTATTTGAGTTGCGCAATTTACAAAATTAGTTTGCATATTTTTTTGTCAATAATATAAATTCCCCTTTTCTAAAACTACAAAATTTCGTTTTAAATTATTATATTTTTGGAAATTCGAGAACAAAGAACAGTAAAAAATAATTTGTATTTTATACAATTTAAATCAAGTTAAAAACTTTCTCCAGAATATTCGCTGAAATTATTTATTCTTATAATAATAAAATTAAAAATTCAGAATTCTCAAATATATTTTGGAGTAAATTTGCAACTTGATTTTTATTTTATTAAAAAAGGGAAATATGTTTCAGCAATCTTTGTTTTTAAGTAAAAAAAAAACCACACTCACACGCACATTTTAAACTTCATAAAGAGATTGTTTAGAAAATAAAATTTTCAACAGAATTTTTGATTTTTTCACTGCGTACTCTTTTTTTTTATATAAAATATTCATATTGATAAATATTTTTAGCTTGTGAAAAATGTAGGAAAAATCTAAAATTTCCAAGACTTTTTAAAAAATATTTCGCGAAACACTAAAGACTTCTTATAAGTATTTCAAATGCAGAATACCTTCTTGAAAATGTACTTAAGCTTTAAAATTCTCAGAAGGACACTTGAAACTCACCTTTTTCACTCAAGAAACTGAACGAATTAATTTTTGTAAAGAACTTTTGAAAATTCTTGTTCAACACTTTGCCACTTGTACTGCAGTTAATCTTTTTGATTTTGTTTGTTATTTGAGTTAAGATTCGTTTTTGCACTTTGTTGCACAGTTTTAGATCCTTTTATTCCTTTCGACTGATGCTGCTTAACATTTCGCGCACTGATTCGACAGTCTTAGTTAGTTTATTACACCTTTTATTTTAGTATTTAAAATCACCGATTGGTGTTTGCTTTTTTATGTCAGCAATTGCTGCGTACAAATAATCCACTGTGTCAATAGTTCGTTAGCTTCTGATAGAGCAAAACTGTCGAGAAATTTGACAATTTTGAATGAAGCTGCTGCAGACGACAGCGAGACCAACTCGGGTTCTGGGTTGGTCGGTTCGCTGGTGGCTTGTTGCTGGGCTGATGTTGGCTTGCTCGCTGGCGGCTGGCTTGGTTGGCTGTTGGGGCACCACCAAGATACAACCGCTTCATAAAATTCAAAGAGACTCGGACCCAATAGCTTCTCAGCGCTTATTTATATAGCCTACGTCGAGCGGCTTTTGGTGAAAATCAAACGAAACGAACGAACCAACATCGCGACAGCGACAACCACAGCAGCGGCAGCAGCAGCAGCAGCAGCAGCAACAGCAACGGGAACGGCAGCGACTGAGACGCCAGCAGAAGCAGCGCAGCAGCAGAGTCGAACGAACATGCCAAGTGAAGCCGGGCCGGAGCCAAACCAAACGCTGAGAGCGACACTCGCCAAGCGCTGAGAGCGCAAAAGAACTTCACACACATACACAGACAGCAGCAGCGACGCCGACAGCGGCAGCGACACGTGAACGCAAACACACCAGCACACACACACGAACGCACGCACACATAGCCATACCCAGAGACGTCGACACCAGCAAACACACTCAAATGCTCAGTGACGGCAACAAAGTTGCTCATCATTTGGATCTCGCACGCTGACGCCGACGCGACGGCAGCGAACAGCGAACAGCGAACAGTGGCGAAAATAAAAATGATTGAAATATTAAATCAACATGAAATTATTAAATGTGAGCATGTTGTAAATAACAAACGGAAACGACTAACATAAGCAAAATGTAATTAAATAAAGTAAAATATTGAAAAGGAATATTGATAGCATTAAGAATGCACATAGATAAACGAAAAACTTGGGTTGATTATATTAGTAAGCAAAGTAAATTTATATATTTAAAAAAAAAACTCATTTGAAAAATCGAATTTATTTGAAACGATGCTCTAAGGACATTGAGCTGCAGTCAGCGCATGGACCCACTGTGCGTTGGCGCTGTTGGCGCGCTGTGGTCAATGAATAAGTGCTGGTTGGCATTAATGCATTGCAAGAATTCCCCACGCTTAGGCACAGAAATTTCGCAGAAGCAGCGCCAGCAAGTTGGCAGCCCCGACACGACGCCAGCAGCGCTGCGGCAGCGATGTCGAGACTAAGAGAGCGCAAGCCGGCTTTGCGAGCAGAGACTGAGACGGAGACTGAGGCCGAGACTGAGACTGAGACTAAAACGAAGACCGAGACTGAGATGGAGACTGAGACTGAGACGCAACCATGTAACTTTGGCCAACAACTTGCGGCTCTCGCGATGCTCTTTGGCCAATGCTCGTTCGTGTTGGCGGCGGCGGCGGCGGCGATGGCGGCGTCAAGTTCTTGGCCATGGCCAAGACGAAGAATTCGCACTGCTGCGGCTGCTGCTACTCATGATGATGTTGATTGATATGGAGATGATGATGATGGTATGCTGATGCTGATGCTGATGCTGAGCTGATGCTGCGCTCGCACTGACTGCAGATTCTTAAGTCAGTCAGTCAGTTGGCCATCAAGCGGCGCTTTGCGGTTTTTGCTTCGACCTGCTGCAGACTACAAATGTATACACATATATACATATATGAATATATGTATGGTACACATATATATGTATGCCTGCTTATATATACAATTTGCTTCTTCTTGTACAGGTGTTGGCCAGCGCCGTTTCTAATTAAGCAGCACTCTTTGCTGGCTGATTTGGACACGGGCAGCGCACGCACTGGACGACAAATGTGGTTGGAGACGAGCAACCGGTTCTAAAGCCCACGTCTTAGCCAGCACTTTTTGGGGTGTACTATTGTTTGTGGCCTGAGGCTGATTATTGACCTTTCTTATTGCTAGTAAACAGCCTAAACTGCCAGACGAGCGGACGGACAGACGGACAGAATACCAGGCAACTGCCAGGCAGCCAGGCGGTCCAGCTTTGTATTTTGTTCATTATTTTATTTTTTTTTTTTATATACCACGCGGATTCTGGTTAATTGTTTGCGAAATTCTTTTAGCCGCCTTTTGTTTGATTTAATTAATTATTTAATTACGCTTGAAGTTGGCAATTTTGCCGGGTTTTTGCACTTGTCTAGTTGGCTTTGACTTTGTACGACCACACACACACTCACACAATCACACACACGCACATGCATACACTCGCACACTCATACATGAAACGAAGAAGTCGCGCGCGCGCGCTCCACACCTCACACCGACAGCCCGTTAGCTTGGCGACGGCGTGGCAGGAACAAAGCAACTTGCCACAGAGTACGCGACTTACAACTACATAGAATTGAGCTCCGGCCACAAGAAAAGCACGTCCGTTGCACGACGCGCACGCTTCGCTAATGAACTGAACATTTCCGCTTTGCCGGCATCCTTTGGCCCGCTGGTCCGTTGGCCCGTTGGCCCGTTAGCTGGTCTGCTGCTCTTTGGTCCTTGCGCTCGTCCGTTCGGTGGAGGCTGCAGTCGCATTGCGCCGGCGCGCGTCAAACATTTGAGCGTGAAATTTGTCGCAGTCTAACATAAAGAAATTCAAATAAAATGAATTTAGCCACCCGCTCCCAGTCTTCCAGCCGACACACACACACACACACACACACACTCACACACCCACACACAGTCCAGCATCCCAGTCCAATGCCAAAAGTCTAGTGATTGCCGGCTACGTGTTGCCGGCATTTGTCGCTTGTCGTTTTTGTATTGTGTGTTCGGTGGGTGTGTGTGTGTGTGTGAATGTATGTGGCTGTGTGTCTGTTCTGTGTGTGTTCTTCTGGTCTCGTTGTCGCTGGCAATATTTTTTTTGGCATTTTCGCTTTATACGTGCAAATTTAATGGCAACAATTGGTGCGAAATGCCGGACATGCAAAGAGGGCACTGAATGAACGACATCAGCAACAGCTACAGCTACAGCAGCAACAGCAGCAGCAGGACGCGGGTCAGCCGAGTAGTGGTTGGGTGGTTTATGCATTGTTGGCTGCTTGCCTTGTTGGTTAGTGCATTTGTCAAGTGTGTGTGTGTGTGTGTGTGTGTGTTATTTTTTATCATTTCTGTTCTGTTCAATTCCTTTCTGTTGAATTGAGCTGCTGCGATTGCTGCCGCTGAAACAGGGTCCAATTGTTGAGTGCAATCCAAAGTAAGAAAAGCACTCAACAGCTGTGGAGAGCACTTCGAACTTGGCCTATTGATAAACTAGTTGGCAATAACGAATTGCCACAAGGTGTTCAATTGAATGCAATTTCGCTCTGCATGCTAGAAATCTTAAATTACTTTAGCAGCAAAAGAAAGAGAGATTGTCAAATGTACATATATAGTATAAGTATAAGTATATATAGATATTTAATCTAAATTTGAGTTTTAGTTCCTATGTGAATCTCATGCTCTTCTCATTTTGCTACTCTGAATCAATTTGACCTTTTGTACTAGTTGAAATATTTTTTTCAAGTCTAGACTTTATATCCACACGAACTTGCAATTCAATTTAAAGTACATGCAGCAGAGTCGAATTAAAGTTCTTCAGTGTTTAATGGGACTATCCTTAGTGTTGACGCAATGTTAGTGCACAACGTTTATAGCGTCGCTTTGCATCGATAAAGTTGCATGCAGATGGTGGATAAGAGCTAACAGTTAATTTTATGTTAAAAAATCGCAATTGCTACCAACTACTACTCTGTATGTGTGTGTGTGTGTGTGTGTGTGTGTGTGTTTGTTTGCTTGTGTGTTTTATTAACTATTTGAAGAGAAGCGAAATCACTTGCACAGTTATCCATCTGATTGAATACTCAAATTTTGCACACTGCCTGCCCCTGTATGGTCACCATCATCATCATCGTCATCATCAGCAACTGTAAAGCACTCTCATGGCCATCCATCGCAACCAACTGGCCAACTAACCAGACAAGCGCCTGACCAGCCAAATAAATAGCCAACTACATTCGTCCGAGCTTCACTGTAAAATGCCAAGCGACAATATTTCGCAGGCAATGCCACTCGTAGCTCGAGTGATTTTCATTGTGTGATGTGACAGGTGTCACCGCGTGTCGTCGGTGGGTGGACGTGGAAAACGGACGTGAACGAACAGGAGGATGTGCCGGAGATGTGCTGGCCGGGAGAGCACGAGCAGATAGCGGAGCGTTTGTGTGGCAGCGGCAGCGGCAGCAACTGTGGCGTGTGGCAATGTCAGGCAATGAGCGCTTCGAGTCGCGCCGACCAAGAGCAGGCATCAAGCATCATGACCAATTAGCCTTGTTAGTGAGATAAACTATGGGGTACGACTATGGGCCAGCTATATGCTACGGTATAACGGTATCTGTCAGGTAATGCCCTCCCTCTGTATCTCTCTGTCTCACTCTCTTTGTGGCTCTCCCTCTCTCTCTCTCTCTCTTTCTCTCTCTGTCGCTCTGTCTCTGTCGCACTGAGGCGAGCTGCCAATGACACTGACAGTCGACGCACGCCTGAGTTCAATTGATTTAACATGAAAGTGTAGCTTGCTAAATTGATTTTTGTGAAAATTCTCAACTTTTCGCATAAGAGAAGTTGCCAACGACAACGACAACGAGAATAGAGAATCGAGCGCAATCCTGGAACGGGAACAATAACAACAAGCAGTCATCAATGTTTTATGCTGTTGCCAAGTGCCAGAGTCTGGGGGCATGCGATGTGTATATATGTACATATATAGATAGCCCGTAAAAATATATATACATATTATATATATCTGTAGCTGACCGTAACGAATTGCTGTACTATCTATCTGTTCTTCTTGCTGCTGCTTTGCCCAAAAAGTATCTGCAGCACAGTTGCCGCTTTGCAACCCTCGAAATACAAAAAAAAAAAAAAAACAAGTAAGAAAATTCTAGTCGAGAGTGCTCGACTAGATACTACCCTGAACCCAACAAATAAAAATGCTCATTTAGTATGGCTGAAATTTCAATTTCGATGTATTTAAAAATATAAATAAAATACCAAACTCATTTAATAAAATATAAAAATATTTTGAAACAATTAAAAAAAATTAACATCAGTTGCATCGATCGGGATTCGAACCGCGACTCCTCGATCGAGCGTCATGCTGCTAACACACTAGGCCACCTCACTCCTGCTAGTGGCGCTGGCAANGACGGACAGACGGACAGACGGACAGACGGACAGACAGACAGACGGACAGGGCCAAA